GCAATCAATTTCTTACAATAACTACTCGATTCGATTACTTGATCCTGCTACGGAGAAAAACAGTTGTGATTCATTTCCAATTAACAGTGTGCCATTGGATAACGAATACCTAGATAAAACATACGGATCGGAACCGTATTCTCTTCAGAGCATGGATAATACTCCTATAATGTATATCCACTGTGAAGCTCCTGCAAAGTCTCCTTTTTATGTTGATACATGCATTTGCAATAAAAATATGTCTCTGCAGAAATATTCCTATTTTGTAGTCGGAAACAACGTCAGTATTGCAGATTTAGAGGATTCCTGCAGTATTGACACGATAGAGTGGATTTCAAATGAATTTCCCGTAGTTTACAATGCCTCCTGTTCAGACATTAAAGATGGGCTGGCTTACGGATTTGACCTTACGTGGTACCGAGTCTATTGCAGCGAAAAATGCTCAGGGCATTTGGAAATTTGTTATATCACAGATGGTACCATCGGATGCTTTGGCTGCCAAATTTCTGGCCTCAATATCTTCAATAATTCATTGCCCGATTGTATGTGGATTACTAGTCTAGCTTGTTTCCTACTTATATTGTGTGTGTGTGTGTGTGTGTAACAAAATAGAGATGCTTATTTTTCTATTTATCAAGTATATATTTAAACAGTGAAAATAATTGATTCCCACTTCCTAGTGACAGAATAGAATATATTGATAAAAATTTGTTTACAATATCGGACTTTTTGTTTTTTGACCTTGCTTTTATTTTAATTTTGCAGGTCCATTGCCTTTCTGGTTTCTGATCTGGTTCGGTGGGTGTTCTGTTCTTTATACTAAGCTATTCAACATGATATCAAAAAAGTCAAAAAATCATGAGTAACTTTTCATATATGTTTCTTTTGCTTATTTCAACTTAAGGCAAATTTTTGTATTAAGCGAACTATCAATAGTTCCATCCAAAAAGACTGCAAGCTCGTCAAGAGTTGACGGTTGGCATTTTTGAGAAAAATGTTATTATTATGTCCCAATTAGTTGCCACGCCTTTTTTTTTTTTTCGTTAACATTTAATTGGTAAGAGTACTTTTTTCCCCTCTCTGTTAAGTACATATTCATAAGAATATTTTACTAGAATATTTAATTGTTTCTTCTTTTGTTGATTTGAACAGTGTATTATAGGATGCATAGGATGCTGGAAATCCTAGGTAAGAGATGAGATCTTCAATCTTACTGGTAAATTATTCTATGTATTTCAATGATTTCTGTGATAAAAGAGGACCCTTTACTAGTATGGATTTCGGAAAAACCATATTCCGCCTCATTTAACTAGGGATATGACAAATTTTGGGAGTATTTGTAGTGTGCCAATTTTGCTGAGTTATCTCATTCTGCAAGTCAGGACCTTTTTAGCAAAAATATCCTTGTTTGGAAGAAAATGTTTTCGTGTCGTGTTTCTCATCTTGCTTTTCCTCTTCAGGATGGATTCTTGCAGCAAGATTTTCTTGTGGGATTCTCTTCTTGTTCACATTGTTGGCATATAAAATCCGAAGGCGGCACCTCTCAGTGTATGACGACATTGAAGAATTCCTACAAATCCAGAACAATTTCATGCCAATAAGATATTCGTACAGAGATTTGAAGAATATGACTAAGAATTTTAAGGACAAGTTGGGAGAAGGAGGCTACGGCACTGTATTTAAAGGTCAGCTTAGAAGTGGCCCTTTTGTCGCAATAAAATTGATGGGAAAAACCAAAACTAGTGGACAGGAATTTATCAGTGAAGTGGCTACCATTGGAAGAATTCACCATATTAACGTGGTTCGACTCATTGGCTTTTGTGTTGAAGGTTCAAAACGTGCTTTGATATACGAGTTTATGCCAAATGGTTCGCTTGAAAAGTACATTTTCCCTCAAGAAGTTACTGTTTTCTTGAGCTATGGTAAAATCTTCGAGATTGCTCTTGGGGTGGCCAAAGGGGTTGATTATTTGCATCGAGGTTGTGACATGCAAATTCTACATTTTGATATAAAGCCTCACAACATTCTCCTCGACCATAATTTCAATCCTAAAATTTCCGACTTTGGTCTAGCAAAATTGTATCCAGTGGAAGAAAATATGGTATCTCTAACTGCAGCAAGAGGTACAATGGGATACATGGCTCCAGAAATGTTCTACAGAAACATTGGAAGAGTTTCATACAAATCAGATGTTTATAGTTTTGGGATGCTGTTGATGGAAATGGCAAGTAAAAGGAGAAATTTGAATCCGTCTGCAGAAAATATAAGCCAAAGTTATTTCCCTTGTTGGGTTCATGAAACATTCATCAAAGGAATGGAAATTGATTTGGGGGATGCTTCTTTGGATGAAAGAATAATGGTGAAGAAAATGACACTTGTAGCCTTGTGGTGCATACAGATGAAACCTAACGATCGTCCTTCCATGAATAAAGTTATAGAGATGCTTGAAGGAGATGTCGAGTTGTTGCAATTGCCTCCGAAGCCATTCCTCTCTCCAGAAGAAATGCCGGACAGTGATGTAGACATAAATGATATGGAGTTTCCAATGTTGTTTGGTAGTTTTGATTAACAAACCAAGTTTGCGTGCGCATTGAAATTATGTATGATTGTTAATTATTATGACTTGTATCAAAATTTAATTGCATCGAATAATTATGGATTACTAAGTTTTTATTGATTAAAGCATTAGTTGAATTGATATATCTGTATATGTAATGCAACATTAAGATCACATTCATATTTGATAACACTTGGATGTCGAAATTTTATGGAAGATTTGTGTCTATTTTGCTAACCTAAAACATGCTTGGACTCTATAAAATGATCACTTGCATGTTTACTTGATGCTTAACATTATAGGAGATGAGAGTTTGATCACACTCCAATTTTGAAGTTTTCTTTGGTGTCAAGTTTCGGCAAAGATTCTACAGAAGTGTTGATTTCTCATACGTGGAATTGGAATTTATAGTGTTAGAAGATTGAACAAATAATGTGGACAAAGTATCACTCTACAAAATATTGAAAGGTTTTGTTCCATGGTATTTGAGAAGTTGTGTTGTTGAGCTAGTATGTTCAACAAGCTAAAATCACCTTAAGATTTTCTCTAACGACATCTCCAACCATTAGCATCAAATTGATGCAACTTTCACACCATTTTGCAAAGTCATTTCCAATCATTACATCAAATATTACACCAAATGAATAGTATTTCCTTATTTATTTATTCTCGAACAATTAATTTATTTAAGAAATTATTAATTGCTTATTATATTACTACTAAAATTATTAAATTAAAAATATATATAGTTAACTAAAATAAAAAAAAATGTATTACACATAATACCACAATTTAAAAAATTACAATTTACTATAAATGTTAACAAAAAATAATAATCAAATTAAACAGAATATAAATAAAATTAAATCATTTAATAATAGAAAGATATAACAGAAATTAATTTTTTTGTATTATAAAATAAAGGGTACCAAATGAACCGCGCTACACTATTCATTGCACCAGGTGTAAAGTTTTGGTGTATGGTTGGAATGGATTTATGCACCAAAATTGGTGCAAAAACACCAATTTGATGTATGGTTAGAAATTTCCTAGTGCATAGTGGTTGAAATGTCACTACATATCAACATTGCATTTGGTGTATGATTGGAGTGTATTTTTGCACCAAATTTGTGATTTTACACCAATTTGGTGTATGGTTGGAAATGCCGCAAGTGCATGGTGTTTGAAATGTCATTGCATATCAACCTCAAGACGTCATATCGAAAATGCTAAGAAATGTACCATTATGTTATGCTAGCGATGAGATATGATGTCTTGTGCCTCTATTCAACTCGTTATATGAGGCCATAGAACCTAACTAATCATCCCTTGATTTGCCTAGATAGTCATTTAGCTCTACTTCTGTTCATATTCTACAAGATCATTACTTCTAGGTCTAGTAAGATTTTCACTATATGTTTTGATTCAGATGTATTCTTTAATTGGACCTAAGTAGTCATTTCTCTTTCGAGTGACTATTTGGCTTGAATTATGTCTCATGGTGTCATGCAAACGTTATGTCACATTATATATAACAAACCACCTTTTTTTTTTTTTAACGAGCTAACCTGTGCTTGATTCGTCCAAAAGCAAGCACTAGTTAGGTCGTGTGGTTGACCCAGCCGAGTTGGCTGTAGAAAACTCGAGCCTTTACATCCTTTTGTGGCTCAGCATGCCAAGGGACAAGCATGAGTTAGTTCCTGTGGTGGATCATGTCGAGCTTGATAGTGGATGAGCTAAGTCTTAACATCCCGAGTTATATGATTTCGACTTTAGTAATTGACTTTAATCATAAAACTCCATATGGAATGTGAACTTGTAAAGGTCATACTTTAGAGTCGAGAAGAAGGTAATACAAATATTTTGGAGATTGTTACTAGTCAAGCCCCCTCAATTCTACAACAAGGATCGTCTTGTTTCTTTCCTTACAATGAATCCAAAAAATATGTATGAAAATGATGCTTCGAATTGTAGAAATATAATGAAATATATGATCGACCAACATTCATCGAATTAAAATTAATTTTAAATTAGGATAACTTGCAATATTAAAGTGGTATAAAGTTAAGACTTCACCTCATAGACTTGAAGTTAACGAGGGTATTCTTGAAAGAAAATAAATTATTTTAATTGGAAAATGTAGTGAAACTATCTCAAATCAAAGACTATTAAAGAATATTAATATTGTAAACAAAATATCCTTTAAAACAATTCTTTTATTTTCCTAAAACGTATGGTCCAGCATGACTTAGAGCATGTTCAGTTAAGTCTAGAAAAGCGATGAAGTAAATTTTAGGGAATTTTTGTCATGTTTATACAATTTTTATATACTTTTAAGTAAAAGAAAGTTATCTCTCTTTTTTTTTTTTTTTTTAAGAAGTACTCATTCTTTAATTTCAAAAAAAAATATAATTTGGAATAATAAAAAATATTTATATTACTTATTTAATTATCATTAATTTGCTTGTAATTGAACTTATTATGCTTGGAAAACCATACACTTGATACAATTTCAAATCACTACTTGTGCTATTATCAACTTTTGTGTAAATAATTTTTTAATATTATTTGAACATATCCAATAAAAATCTTTGAGAATTAATACCACTGGTCATCCTCAGAAAGAGACCTTGTTGGAGTTTTTGCTGTGCATGTATAAAATTATATAATTCCATTGATTTTTCTTTGGACCACAGGAATTTCGTATACATGGGTTTAAAGCCTTTCTAAGTCAACAAACGTAGAGATTAAGATTTACGGGGTCCACATTAATTTATTTATCGATGAGAGGCAGGTTCAATGATTTTGACTTTAGTAATTAAAAGAAAAAACACGTTGATCATGGAATTACATAAAGGGTGTGAAATGTGTGCAGGGACAGAATTGCAGGTTTTATAATATCCGGGGGACCCTTTTGCTAATACAGAAAATTCGGCGACCATTTTCAAAAACAAAAGAAATACAGGTAAAGAGCCGGGGATCCTAAGGGAACAATTTGCACAAATGCTTGTTTGGGAATTCAAATAAAGTGCTTGAAATACAGAGCAGGGAAAACATAAAGTTAAGGAATACAATTTTAATTGATATGGATAGCAAGGGATTGGACAACTACAAAACTATTATAATGGTGAAATGTGATCCCACCACCTACATCCGGTTAGTCGAACATAAAGGCCTCTAGGCAGCCAGTCCGGCTTATGAGTTTAGTATGAGGATCAAAGATTATGCGATCAAGAGTTTTGGATCCATGGAGATGAAGTGGATATGAACTTCCAAGTGAAAGTGCGGGATAATAGTTTGTGACAATTTTTATTGAACACTAACTTGACAATTATTGTCTAGTCAATTTAAAATAGCATAGCATAATACAATATGTCCATTGTTCCAGAGTCAATTTGAAATAACATAAGATAATAAAATATGTCGATTATAATCGTGTCAAATTAAAATGATACAATACTAAATTCAATAATTAGCAATTAGTGTGATCTCCACCCTTTGGTAGGAAAATTGAGCATATCTAGTGTTCATCAATAAAGTTAATGTCAATACTCTAAATCGACTACGATGGCCAAGTAAGTTATATTCCTCTTGAAGAATTAAGACAGCCACCCATTAAATGTCAAGTACAACTTGTATTATTTTCGCGAGATATTTATTCTAGTCTAAATAATTTGCTTATTTAATTATCATTAATTTGCTTATAATTGAACTTTTTATGCTTGGAAAACCACACACTTAATACAGTTTCAAATCGCATCAACTTTTGTGTAAATAATTTTTT